AATAAATCACCTCATTGGTCACTGAACTTTCAAAAAATCACCTCATCGTGCCCACCCGGCAACCCTCCAATAGGGGCCAAACATGTGTCCATTATGTCAAACATTATGGGTACCTTTATGTACCCATAGCATAACTCTTGAGGATATAATATTCTAGAAGATGTGTGTTCATTTTGTAATTATAGTTCTTTAGTTGTTCTGATTTGAACTTTTGCAGATCTTTTCTGCAACTTTTCACTCTTGTAGTAGAGGGACAGCTGCATCCCACATAATGTCATCTGCTCAAGATATAATCGGCCCTAGCGAGTCATCAACTGATCCACCTGACTCAGCTTGTCATGATTCAGGATATCTTTCTATGAACGATCTCAAAAACTGTTTGAACGAGTTTGTAAATATCGAGAACTTTGAGATAGCAACTCGTGGCTTCAGTCCATCTCCTGAGGGGAATGATATAAGCAATGAGGAGAAGGAAGTTGAACATAACCAATCCCATGGGAGGAATTCAAACATTGTAGCTTCTGAGAAACACTTTAGCAAGTGTGCCACATTTCCATCTCCTGCATCCCCTGGCGAGCATAAAAAATTCCCTGCTGAAGTATTGTTGGATGGGAAAGCGAAGCAGGGTAATGATATAACCACTGTAGTCTCAACATTGAATGGTGATGCCGAATCTGCTGATCAGTCATATTCACGTTGCATATCCTTGCCTGTAAGTTTTACTTTTTCGTAGCTAGCTCTTAAGCATATTCTTTCATTAATGCACGTATTTTCTCTTGACAAATGGATCCCTTCAAGGGAATATGAGTGCAGATTTTATCCAACGTAGTTTTTAGTAGTCTCGTTACAATAAATATATTAACATGACAGAATTTGCACTGATACTATATATAATATATTTCACGAATTCCTGGTAAGTAGTAATGGGTTTATTTATTGTTCGGGTTTCCATGACCATGAGGTATGTGTCTGGTGATGTGCACAATTGTGTACCTGTGGGTTCTTCCATTTTGTTTAACGTTGAGGGTGATCATTGGTATTAGTAAAGAATTCCACCTAATGCAAAGTACATATTTTTAGTCAATTATGTTTTTTATGATGTTGCCAAATGTAATTAGATTCTTTTGCCCATTTTTTGACATCAGAAACACACTCTCTGGATGATCCAGGCGAGTAAAGCTTTTGCCTATGTTTTTTGAATTTTGAGAACAGTGCTGTCAAATTCTATTTCAATGTACAGATGATCCTTGTATGGCAACAATTAAGGGTTCAGGTATATAATACTGGATATATGTGTTAACAGATGTGATTTTTTCTCTCTCGTTGATGTTCTATTCTCAGACTCCTATGAAGCTTGTATCTGCCATGAAAGGTAGCCGTGAAAAGCAGGGAATACCACCTAAAAAGCTGATAGTAACGTGGGCCCCCGACGTTTATGATCCAGTTCCTTCAGCAGTGCCACACGTGGCATCAAACAAGCATCATCGCCATCGGAGTGATAGCAGGAAGTACAGTAAGACCAAACAGAAGGGCAGTGGTAAATCTTCACGAGGCAGCAAGGGAAAAGACAAGAAGCAAGCTCGGAAGACTCTTGGAAGTGCTAGCAGTTCTTTCAAGTCATTCAATGATTATTACATAATGCATGGTTTTGATGAGCCTCTTACTGGTATTGAGAATTTCGATGTTGGCAACCCAGTGGCATTCTGCGGAAGTAGTTTTCTTAAAAAACCGGTCTCCAAGTTGCACTTTGCAGTGACAGAGGCTACATGAGCCCTCATCTGAATCAATACGGTTTCATTTTCGTTTCACTGATGATGTAAATATAAATAAATTTGTGAGGTTTTGTTGATGAGCATACTTCTGACTTTCCTGTGAAAATGTTGACCTGATGGCGGAACTGCCATGGAAGCTTAAAGTCCTTTTTCGTGGTGATATGCATTCTGTCATGTCTTATCATATCATTTACATCAAGTTTGTTGTGGCTTACGATACCATTTGTTTGATAGTTTTTGGTAGTATTCATTTCCTATGTTTTGTTGCTTGGGATCTTAAGAGGGCTGGTGCGAAAAATTGTTTGAATTCACTTTTAGTTATGAGCACTCAGGATAGCACAGGGTTCCATGCTGAATTGAAAATCAATTACTTAAAATCTTTTGCTCCTCCAACCATTTTCTCATAACAAGGATAATGAATTCAGCTTTGATTTTCACAGTGACTGCAGAATTTTAACAATCTTGAATCAGGTTCTCAAACGGGTTAAAATTCAGTCAGTTGCAAAGGAAATTGCAGAATCTTGATTATTCTCTGGGACAATAACTAGATATAGTGACACATCCATGGCTTAAAACAGGAGTAAAAGACTGGACGAAAGTATCAGCCAAAAGGGTATCTAATGATCTGGGACATAACCATATTGTAGTTTTATAATGACAGAGAAGATATTTTCTATGTAGTGTACTCTGCATTTATTTTCACATAATCATAACTCAAGTCACAGCCCCATGCTAGTCCTCTACCTGAACCATCACCTGTGAAAAAAATGGAAAAACAAGAAAAAATCAACGAATTGTGGATAGAAGAGAGAAATTCCCAAAAATGATATACCAATTTGCACCGCAACTTATCACGGGCTCGATGGAAAGCAACTATAATTACGAAGGACAACAGCATGGATAATACTGTGAAAGATGAGTGTGTGATTGCAATATTCAGGCCAAATTTCCTCTTATGTAACCAAGGAAAATTTTCTCTTCAGTAGGGCATAGCAGAATCTAAAATTTTCATTTCATCAATTAATAAATTGGTTTTGTACTGTTTCTATTTTGGGGTGCGGGAAATGGGGATGAGTATGAATATCATGACACAGCGCGTCATTTTTTTGCATGTCTATGAATCTTACCAATAGATATTTGAATTACAACTGTCCCGTGTATCTCACCAGCCTTCTTAAGATAATTACTTGCTGCAATGCTGAACATTTCAAAATTCTCAACATTGTTAAAGAAAATTAAGTAGTGAAAAACATGTTTAATGAGAGTGACCATAAAAGGAGAGGAACAAAAGAGAGAAAAAAAAAAGATGGATTGGGTGGAGGCGTCTCGGAAAAGGCTAAATCCGCGAAGACAGATTTCTAGAAAACTAGCCCATGAAATTTCATTCACAAATAAATCAAACCAGGAGTGTGGAACACACAAGGTTTGGCCAAAATATCATAAAAAAATGCATTTGGAAACCCCCAGCCACCCTTGCAGATGGAGTATTTGGAAAGAATAATGCTAAGTGTACACAATTTACACAATCTTTTACACCTCTCTCACATGGAAGGGGGCCCACACATAATAAAATAATCGTGGACCCCCCCTCCATGTGAGAGAGGTGTAAAAGATTGTGTAAAAGTGTGTGTGTACATGTAGCATTACCCATTTGGAAACTATATAGATATATGATTTGATCATAGTGGAACTCTGATGGAAAAAATGAAGTATTTCCTCATACCTATCAAATGGCAATGGCTGCCCACCATCCATTAGCAGAATATCTCCGAGTGATATTCTGAGTTTGTTTGGATTAAAAGGAATTCCTGCATAACCGGCAGCACAAGCAATACGTCCCCAATTTGGATCCCGACCATATACAGCAGCCTAATGACATAAAACACGTGAAAAGTATAGCGAGGCTGACAAAATCAGAAACAGCTCGTACCATATGAGATCCTTCAAAGATGTACAAATCATGCCTTCGTCAATGAAGAAGATGCCACTGATCTTGCAACCTTTGCTGCTTCAGCTTCACTGCTTGCTCCAGCTACTCTGACCTGCAGATTGCATTTAAAATCAGGATCACTCTACTTTGGACATAAGCAGGATATATTGCTTTTCAGTAAACACGCGGCGCAAATTCACTAATATCCAGTTCAATGTTGTACATATATTCCATACTTCTTGTCAAATAGCAATTCCTATCAAGGACTAGAACACATTTTGGATGGTATATTTGTTCTTAGGATGGATGCACTGTCATACTAAAACGGCTAAGAAAACAAGTAGAGGTAGCATCCAGAGAAGATAATCCCAAGGAAATGTGACTTAGGTGGTTGTCTCATGTTTTGTGTCGACCTAAAGATGTTCTTATTTGGAAGAGTAATGTGATTTTGGCAGAGCAAATTAGAAGAGGGAGCTCTATCAAAAATAACATGGCCAGTTGTAGCTTACTGAAGATCTGCTAGTAGATCTAACAATGAAACAAACGCAATGGCAAAGAAAGATTTGTGTAGCCGATCCAAATGTATTGGGAATAAGGCTTCGTTGTATATTTGTACTTTTGTATTTCACGGTAAATGGACAAGAGTTGGGCAAATTGTGTCAGTAAAAATATGAATACCTCTATCAAGCATGTTGCCCCTTCACCATCCCAAGCTATTGATTTTGCAAGACCACGCATTACCTGAATAAAACAAAAACATAATCCTAAAATTTATGAGATCTCCATGTGTCATCAGTTTGTACCAGTTAACACATGCAAGACTATCCAAAAGAACAACCAAAATTTGCTTTGTAAAAATTAAAAAGTGATCTAGTTCTAAATGAAGTAAAATTGACATCACGTGCTGAAGGGTTGATTAGTAGCAGCCGTAAAGCCAATTGGGCACAACATTTCATCATAGTCCAACCAATGTCAACAATGGGCCATGTGGATTGGACTACTCGATGACTGGCATTCACATATCAACAAGCCCAGAGTATTTCATCTGCAAGTATTTACCCTAACGCTGATGATAGCATGAAGGTTAATAGGAATATTAAAATCACCATAAGACAACAATAGAGCATAATACTCCACGATGTACGTTGTGGAAAAGACAATTTAAAACCAGCTTTGAAAAAGGACGAAAGTGCAAGACATTAAAACAGTAAGCAACAGAAGTCTCAGATGTGAGTGAATCAATACAATGTAATAGTTAAAAGTTCTATGAAGCAACACTGGTATCTTTTGTAGACACACCAAGGATAAAAGAAAGACAAAAGCTTATAAGATATAATTGTTGCTAAGAGTGATAATCAATACCAAACGAGAATAGTGTGTGAAGATAGTTAAACATACAGCATCAAGACACGCTTGTAGATGTTCTCCCTCAGCACTATTCAAAGAAGAAATTTTGTTTGATCCTGAAAGACCGCTAGCCAAAGCAAGGACACAATCATTTGTACTGGTATCTCCATCCACCTGATGAACGAATATCCCACCATACGAAACTTTAGATACACAATGTAATTAGTTTGGTTGCTGAGATGCTATAAAAGAAATAGTGATGTAACTGAGACACTAATAAATTCATAGATCACAATGACAAATTAGAACAAGCATGTCTAACATGTTGAATGATACCGAAAGGAAAATTGAAATATTAAATAGAAAAAAGTAAGCACAGGATGTACCTTGCTCTAGTTTGAGTCTGCAATATTTGCAGTTGGAGACGTATATGCAAAAGCAATATAAAATCACAAAGGTTCACAAGATTAATGTCCAAAACCCCTAATATAAGATGATTTGCATGTTTTCTGACAGACGAAGTCTACAAGATGAGCACCAGTTTAGTTAAATGCAGAATCTGAATTTGCAAATCCTTGAATTTAGCGAATAAATAATATTTCCCTAGCAATTAAATATACAAAAAACTTATGTCTGCTGACTTGGGGGTGGATCTACAGGTCCTACTTGCCACAAGTACCAAGAGTGTACGCAACAATCTCCACATGCCATGTATCTAATATGTGCCAGGTACATGCAATGCATGAACAGATTTAAACCCCTTAATTTCATAGAAGTTCATGGAAAATGAGCCAGAAATGGATGAAAAGTTTGTACTTGCCGTGATTTGGTTGAAACTACGATTTACAGCAACTTGTACCATCTTTCGCCAAACATCACTTGTGACAAAAGCATCTGTTGTTATAACCTGTGATAATTAAATCACGACATGGAGTAATTAAAACCAATTTCTGGAACAGCTGAAGAGAGGAAATCAATGAAGAAACCTACACCAAGCATTGTTGCCATGTTCGGGTGGATCATTCCAGAACCTTTTGCCATCCCCCCAATTCTTATGCGAGTTCCTCCAACCTGAGTAAAGCATAATCTCAATTAGAAAAAAAAAAAAAGGAATATTTTACTATCCGGTTGTAGAGAGAAATTCTTCATTCAATTGATAAAATTCTTGAACTTAGATCATTTCCATTCACACACACACACACACAACGAGCTTAATCTTCACTCTCCCAATTGGTTTTGAACACAAAATGGGCTTGTTCATAAGAAATTTAACATTACATGCACGAGAACATCAAAATTGTGCTTGTCCAAATGTGTCAAATACAAGTTCTGCAAACGCTCATCGACAGACATGGTGTAAATTACAGGAAATCAATGACTAAACACAGGTGGCTTATTCCCACATATGTTCAATTAAATAAATTGAAGATTACTATTATCTCATGGCTCATTTATTAAAAGAGCCTAGAATGAGCAATGCTTAAATGTGAAAGCTATTTGAAAGTTTAGAAAATGTTTGGTTAATATCCCCAATAGAAATGCAAAGCAATGACAGTGTTTTTCATTGTATTCTCAACGTTTTCAATTCATTCTCTTCCATTTCCTATCAATTATATTTTTGACAAATAACTATACTTCTAGATAGATATGGTGAACAGAAAAAAATATGAAGCCAAGTTCTTGAACTTCTTGTTGAACTAACAAAGTATATGAAACAAACA